CTTGTTTCTTTTTAAGCAGGGAAGCACTTGCAGCATTAGTAGCCATATCCAGAGCCAGTTTCTTCTCATTGTTTCTTATATCTGTTCTTGCTCCTTTATAGAAAACAGTTTCCATTATTAAGTTACGTACCACATCAGTATACTGTTGCTCAATGGATTTACTAAAGTTTACTTATACAACTAGGCTGGGCTTTATGGCTTTTCCTGGAACAGATCTGAAGATCACTAACTGCAGTAGGCCCAGAAGCAGGGCTTGTGCAGCTCATTTGTTGATCGTTCCCCATCTCTTCCCTCCCACCTGCCTGGGAAGCATCTCAATGCTTTTACGGCAGGTTGAAATGATCTTGTCTGTGAAGTAGACTGACCTGTGCAACTTCTAGGCTTTGCATGATTTTAGGAAGTAAAGCTTTCTAAAGCTGATTTGGAACCACAATTAGATTATATAAAATTAATTTACAACATGTCTATTATAAACCCAACTGTTCCGTGTTAAAAAAGACACGGTTCTCCCAGAGTACTGAAATTTTAGTTTAAATATTTACCCTTTGCCAGTAGCATCTCTACAATATCTGCATAACCTTTCCAAGCAGCAGCATGTAGAGCTGTGTCTCCCAATTTGTTCTGTGAAGATAGAGAAGGTTTGGGGGGGAAGCAACAGGGTTTAAACACAGCAAAAAAGCCTAGCCTGCTCTAGGAATTAAAGAGACAATTGTAATTAAATGGATGGCGTACAATTTCTTACCTGTTGGTTCAGTTCTATATTTGGTTGGGTAAATAAGACTTCCACGATATCTACATAAACAGAACAATGTCAGACCAAAACTTCCTTTGAATTAAAAAACAGATAATATTAAAACCAAGACTTAATGGAGAAAAGAGTCAAATGAAATTAGTTAGAAAAGGTAAAATATTCTTCAAAGCCTGTGAAGATTGTATGGAGCAAGCACTACAAATATACCACGAGTATTTAAAAAAAAAAAAAAAAAGAAAACAGGCTCAATGACTGTGGCAATGTTTCTTTGCTCTCCCTTCTCTAAATTCTCTTTCACTTCCTGTTTTTGGCTGTCATAATCAATGTCTGCTTTAACAGCAGATGGCTTTGTATGTGTTTTTTTTTTTTTTTTTTAAACTACATTTAACACCCATGAGTCTCCGACTGGTTTCTGTTTTGCATGTATTTTCCGTTTCCCTTTTTCAATCACAGTGGTTTGTTGGTTTAATGACCTAGTTAAAGACAACTGAAATAAATTGATTAGTTATTTCTACTGTACCTTTGTGCCCACCATGACAAGCCCAGTACAGGGCTGTGTTTCCAGCCTTGTCTAAGCCATTAACCCCAACTCTGTTATCCAAGCACTCCCTCAACCAGCTCAAGTTGCCTGAAACCAACAGGAAAAATTATGTAAAATAAGCATTAAAAACAAACACACAAACAAATAAAAACAGCAACTTTCCTCCTTTCCCTACAAAAAATGACTTGATTAACTGAACTAGTAGTATCTAGCTGTGCCTGAATGCTTTCAGAATTAGAACTTTTATCCATTAGTAGAAGATGGTGATGATGGTTATTGCTGTAGATTGTGAAACAACTTGTCCAAGTATCAAATCATTTGTTCCTGTTCCCCCACCTTCCCTGCCCCCACAACAAACAAATTTTAAGCCTCAATAAACTTAAGATTCCAAATGTATATAACACATAAAATTTAACAAACCAAACTACAAAGCATAGATTCAATCTTACTTTGAAGTAAAAAGTCTTTTTTTTTCTTTGACACTATGATATTTAGAAAATCTGTCTAAATGTGAGACAGATCTAGTCTAAACTATACCTACCTCTTTTGGCAGCTTCATGCAATGGGTTATCAATGGACTCAGCTTGCTCAGCCACTAAAATAAAATCAAATTAAAATTAAATTTTAAACTAAACTAATTAAACAATCATGAAACTGTTGATTTAATAATGTGGAGATTAGGGCATGGAAGGGGACTTCCTTTTTCTGAAAATCCAAGGTCAGCCAGACCTCTCTTGGAAATGGGCTATAAACCAGTGGGTAAGACCAAATCCAAAGATTGCCATATTTATTTGAATACCATACACATTTCCCCAAATTATCCTTCCAAAACTGGGGTGTTTTTCTTTAAGCAGGACAGTTGATTTTTATGCCCACAATAGAAGCATGTAGGCACTGCATGATAGATGTTCCTTTTCTTCCTCTCCACCTCGTCCCTCTCCCCACCTACCAGCAGACACCTGGAGAGAGAGGTGCAGGGGCAAGTTTAGGGGGACACAGTGGTGGGTTCATATCCCCACTTTGATTTCTGTTCTATCCAAAGTTTAAAATGAACTGCCTGGCAGCAGCAGTGGCATTTCTATTCAGGAAATGTAGAGGGACTCGGCTGACTTCATGGTTTATTGTAATGTACCTGATTCTTGCTAATCTCTCTCAATTCCACAGGTGTTAACAACCCTCTTTTTAATGGAATTGATATTCCACTGTCAAGATATCCTTCCTTCCTTCTGCAATTTTGCTGTCTCTTAGCTATTCCTGGTCTCTCTCCTATTTCACAGCCCTGCACAATGTTTTTACATCCATTTTAAAAACGTCAGCTCAGATGGGAAAATATCCTATCCAGGAGTAGAAATGGATATCAGAGAAGTGTTGGATGCATTGTAAAGAGACTTAGGAAAGCTAGCTTTTTTTTTTTTTTTTTAAATCCTTAATAAGAGGTTTAAATATAATGACCACAGGATTCATGAAACATTGTTTGACTTATTTTTTTGTTTAGTTTGCTGTGTTTTTTACGTTTATAATATAGTAAATTGATGTACATTCTAATGGAGTTATATTTGGCTTTGCTTTGATCTTAAACTGATCAATACAGACCTAAACACCTAGCACATTAGCAAAGTTTTGTAGGTTGTTTTTAACCAGAGAAAATGTGTCTTGTTATATATATGATGGTAGATCACACCATCCGCACACCCCCTCTCTTTCAAAATCTTAGATCTGCCCATGAAGTTCAGTCTTCAGTGGTAGCTAGTTTCAGCTTCTGATTCATCAGCCAAAAGCTGCTGACAATTCAGCTGTGAAGGGTTTCAAACCACAGCTTTTGCCTGAGGAAAAAGCGGGAATGTGACCGAAGATTAGGTTCTCTCCCTGCTCAGTATGGTTATAGTTCTAGAAATTTTTTTTCTTAATTTTGCCTTAATTTCTTAAGTGTCTTATTTTGGGGGCATATGCTAGGCAAGAAAACGTAGTATTTTGCCAGGAATATAAGCTAAATCCAAAATTATAATATAAACCCAACCAACTCACTGGCTGCTTAACCACTAAAGGGCCTAATACTAACTAGGTGGCACAGCTTAAATAGGTGCATTAGAATCCAGGAGGGCTAAAAGTTTCTTTCCACCTAGTCAAGTCCATAAACTAGTGACTAAGATGCTGTGGGTTTGAATACAATCCTCAGTCTGAAGAGGGAATTGCATCCAGGGTTACTACTTTTGGGGCAAGTGTGCTAACCACTCTGTTATAAATAGGCTGCCACAAACACTGCCTGATGTTTAGAAGGATGGTGATCTCTTCTCTGTTACTTCAAGGAAAAGGTAGGAAGAATGCCCAGGGAGACTCACAAGCTGCTGCCCTTGAGCACGCTAGAAACTGAGGTCTTGAGCATGGTGCTACGGTTGTCCTGCTGCACGCGGGTAAGGTTTATTTCCTCAAGGAAGAAACTGAGCACTCTGCCCCGACATAGCCTCCATGACTTACTATATGGCAACAATGAACGTGTAGGCACCTTGGGTTTGTTCAGATCTAGTCTTTAATCACCAAGGGTTTTTTTGGTATTTTCCTATATGTATGAGTTGAAAAAAGAGGCTGTAGAAGTTTCTTGAGCACTGATACTGCATTTGATCAGTAGCTGCCATTTCTCATTAGAAAGAATGCTCATGAGATGTGTTGAATATTGCTAGTAAAGTTTAAGGTGGGGAGGATTTATAGGTACTCCAGGCATTTTGCTATTGTACTGGAAGGAATAAAGCAAGTTAAACTCCATTACAGAATAGTGGTAAGCGTGGTTTTGAATTGTGTTTTAGGTGCCAGCATTAAGCTACTCTGGGAAGTATAACTGAGTGGTATAGTTCTGAGACAACCTTGTAGTATGGGTGTCTACTCTGCTTCCTGCTGGTAGGTGGCAGGAGAGATTGCTTCCCAGGTAAAAGCTTTAAACTACTGAACCCACAAGATGTAATCAAATGTTAGGTAATTTCAGCTACTTAAAATACAAATTAAGCCATCTCCTCATGCAAGAGCTTTTTTTTTTTTCTCCTGCTTGCCTTTGTAAAATAGGGCAAGATCTAATCACTAGATCATCTGAACATATTTTCCCTATTTTCCAGCCACTGCAGCCCTTGTCTCTGCTGCTCTCTTATAGCACAGTGTAGGTCGTATGAATTGTACGTGTTACGATTTTCTTGTTTGTTTGTCGTGGTTGTGGTATGTAAGAAACAAATAGAAATGGAGGAGATGTTTTTGTGGACCAGTTCATAGTGGCCTGTGGATGCGGAGGATTGGACTTGATGGCTTTTCAAGGCCTATCTAATCCCATGTTTCTACATCAACATAAAATTCTGTGACCCACCCAGATCTTTTCTAACTTATCCGTTTATATTCTCAACCAGGGTTGGTAGCTCATAACAATGTCCTCTATTTAATCTGTCCTAATCAAACAGGATATAAATGCTATTATTTGCATTTCATATAATCTAAAATATCAGGTTAGCAAAACCTGTGTGCATAACTATTAAAGTTAAAGCCTGAAGGAAAAAGCAGAACTTGACCACACTATAGTTTCATAGCCATTCTTCAAACAATTTCCTAGTCACTGTACTTCTAGCAAGTAGTATAAAATACATTGTGCTTCTTTTGGGCAGGGGGCTGGACCTGATGATCTTGCCATATCCCTTCCAGCCCTAATGTCTATGAAACCTAGCATATAGTATAAAGTGTACTGCTTCTCTGAGGAATATGCTATTCTCAGAAGTCTGAAGATTCATTCACCTTTCTGATTATTTTTATCGTAATTTTCAGAAGAAAACTATCTTACTAATGTAGATGTTGTAAAAATTCCAACATCATCAGTGTTTAGAGTAACACTGGCTTTTAAGCATGCAATTCACCAGGTCCAGCAGATGGAGCACAAGATCATGATACAGACACACTTCCTGTTTCAGGACATTAACTGGAAAGAGTGACCTTCTGCAGTCTTAGTCTATTTGGGAAGGGTGGGAGTTTGTCTTTGAATGCAAGGAATGGGATTGGGCCATAAAGCTGTCCTGATAGAGATGGAGGATGCAATTGTTTCAACCATTCCTCTAACAGTGGTACTTTTTTTTTTTTAGACTCAAAATACCCCTCATTGGACTACAAGCATCCCTTGGAAAATGCTAGCTCTTAACTTTCACTCATTTCTTGACTACAGAAAACAACACAGCATGTTTTTCTGTTGGAAAGAATGCAGAAAAAACCACAACAGGTCAGACTGGTTTTGACACTATTGATTCCTATTTGAAATCTCTGGGTTTAGCTTGCGACTCATTTGTAGCTGTTTGCATATCTAACAATGCTTAACTGCTTGGCACCCTGCAGTACTCTGAAAAATGATCGTATGACACCTGGTAGAGAATCGCTAAACTAAGGCCATGTAACTTATTGCACGGGCTATTGCAGGGCATCTTTAGTGCCTAAACAAATGTTCAAATACTTTGCAAAGCCTGCAATGTACTGTCATAGTTACAAATACTCTTCTTTATATGACGGACCTATGTCCCAGATACTTAGTTGGATGTTGTCACATACCCACTCTAAAAGCAGGAATAGTCTGGGGGTTCACAGTGTATCATCATTCAGTTACTTTTTTCCAAGTTTGATTTTTAACCACCCTCACGGCTGATCTCTTTCAAAAGGTACCAATAAGCTATATTAACTTGTATTGATGTCTGGATCACATTATTGTGTATGTATGCATGCATCTCTGCAATTCTGTAATGTAGCCAGATGAGATATCAGAAATGATTCTCTCTAACTAATAGCTATTTGCCTGTCAGAAAAGCTATTGTGTGCCTACTTAGTAGAAGTGAGGTGAGGGAGAGGCACTGAAGCCCTGAGGTCAATGACCAATTGCATTCCAAAGAGAAGAGAAATCCAAAACCCCCAGGTACCTGGAAGAGCTATCAAAATGAGGAAGTAACCAATTGCTGGGAAGGGCACCCAATATATTGTGGTCATCAATCTTGCTGGAAGGAGAAGTATCAGTTTCACACAATAGCAAGCACATTTTGGGGGACAGTACCTGGGGGAATTCCAAATTCTCCAGGCAGAGAGAAACATTTTGCATGAGATTACTGTACTAGACTTTCTCCAGGGAACCAAAGTGTGTGTGTGGTGGGGGTAGGGAGGGGGTTTGCATCTTGAAAGTATTTAACATGTCTTTTGAGAAGAAGTGGTTTTCAGAATATAGAGATAATCCTGGTCCCCAGCTGTCAGAGGTGGTAGAGCAGGGGTTGGCAACATTTTGGGGCAGAGTGCCAAAAACACCCCCTACTTCCACTTGTAGGATGTTGACATGCCAGGGGTAGATGACAGAGGAGCTGCAAGGGGCTCAATCCTTGCTGTGGCAGTAAAGCTGCAGCCCCTCCCCTGCCATCTGCCTCAAGGCACACGTACATCTGCCACCAGCAACAAGCTGGGCCAGTGTGCAGCTGCTTGCAACCTCTCTGAAGGACTGTGTTGGACAAGAGGGTGAGAATATTCATCCATGTTTTATTTCTTTACCCTGCCTCCAAACTCTATGGTTATATTTTCTTGTGTAATGCAATATCTCTTTGCTACTTTGCAGCCTCACCTAATTGCCTGTAGTAAGGTATGATTTCAGAACAACTGATAATTTGGGCTTTTCTCTTATTCACAGAAGACCCATAATTTTTGGATAACTCAAGGATGAGATCCCTTGGAGCTCCCCTGTTGCAGCTGTGGGGTATGGTGTGAGGGCAGGTGGAATTAAGATTTGTGAGAATGAGGAATCAACCTGGGGCAAATGTTATTTGTTCTTTGTGACCAACAGTGGAATAGCAGGGAGAAACTTGGGGCTCTGGAAGCACCCGACAACAGGATCTATGGCAGAGGTATCTGCACAAGTTCCTCCCTTTACTGTTGACATATGAAGATTTTGCTGATGTGTAGGGGAGAGGAACTAAGCCATGACAGAGGAAGTTACAAAACATTTTTCAGAGTTACTTTGTAGTACAACATGCCAGGGGTTGTTTTTAGGTCCTGTGATAAAATGAAGTTTCCTGTTCATTCTGACCCCAATAATGGAATATTTAAAGTGTGTTTTTAATCCCAACAGCTGAAAGAAATGAGAGTTGGGGACAATGTTAGTCAGCAAAATATTTAAATGCATAAATCAGTTATCTATGGTTTTATATATAGTTGGTCTCCGAAAAGTCTTAAAAAAAAGACCTTCTTTCTCAGGAAAAGGGCATTTATTCAATGGGAATGATTTCTCTTCTTTGAGCATTCAGTATACTGGAGAAGACATTGAACAGATGTTCATAGCCACTGTAGTCCATTCTTTTTCCCCTCACTCTTTTATGCATTTTTATAACCCCTCAGGATAGCAGAATAATTGAATGCATCTTCAAGAAGCAAATCCTTGATGCCTCTGATCTGGCCATTTCTCTTTATGTCTGGGCCACATTCGTGAGAGCTCAGCAGTAAATTCCCAAAGCAACATCTAGCCTCTTCTATTATTCCAGATCCCTTCCTGTTTCTAGGCTAGGTCACTGAAGATTGTTGGCCAACAAGCTCCTGGGTGGGAGAGGGAAGGGGGAACTATTAAGATATAGATATGTCAGAAGCACATGTTTTCTGGAATGAGTTGAGAACAGTGGTCGAGAATCTATTGAAAAGCTAAAAGGAGTGGGGACCAATTGCCTTCCAAGACCCAACATACCGAGTCTCTTAGTGCTTGGTCTTATTATTGCTCAAACTTCTATGTAACCATCCTAGAGACCATACCATACTATCTCCCAGAAAACTAGCTAACTTAGTATGAAACCAAAAACTTCTTTAGTGCTTCTAGTGGAAGAAAAAAGGTTTTTGGCCTGGTCAGTACCAACTCAAATTCATATGTTTGTTACCAGGACTCTGGATTGCTGCAGCTCACTCCTATGAAGAAATAATTACTGGAGAATAAGTACCTTAAATATAAAATGCCCCCCCAGTAGTTTCTATATATGGAAAATGTATACATTTGTTATAATTTTCCAAGTATAAAATCTTAAATATTGGATATTTGCCTTAAATTTGTCCCTTCCCACTGCTACAGCAGGGAAAATAAAATGGGAGGGGGGGGGAGGTGGCCCACTTACCCCCCCTCAACTTCTTCCTCATGCTTCCCTTTCCCTTCCAGCCTTACTGTCAGACCCTGCTCTCCCTGAGCACATGGAGAGGGGCAAATCTGAAAACACTGATATTTTTTTTTTGCCTATAGTAATTTGTATACAGGCAAATTACTATGGGTACCCCTAGATTCAGTTAATCCAGAATTGAGATATTGCACTATTTTTTTTTTCCAAAGCTGCTACAAGTTTTAGCATAGGTACTCCACAAACACACTTTTAAGCAGTACTTTTGAACCTACTTATTTACAGTACAAACTATGCACCCTATCAGTCTGAAGCCAAAAGACTCATAATTTACCATATACTTCACTGAGCTAGGCCCCAGAAGAGTCATCAGCTGCAGAAAGTTTTATGAAACTCTAAAATGCAAAAGATACTGAGAATTATCCTACAACATCTGTGCACATCTTGTGAACTCTTCTTTCTCAAAGCTTTCCTTGAAGAACCCATAAGAGCACTTGATGGCAGACTCAGAAGCTAGACACTAGTTATTAAATCAAGAAGCAGCATGGAAAACTAATGGCCTCTCTCTTACAACCCCAAATTATCCTTATGATGACTACATAGGGTGGTGTAGTCCTCATAAGTCACTGCATAAGACAGCATTTCAGTATTTTGATACTGGACTCTCTAACTGCGGTATTTTTTTTATTAGCCTTCAAGAAAATGCTAGTAATTCATTCTTAGCAATCCTATGCATAAAGGAAATTGCTAGTGATGTATATAAACAATGAGAAATATTCTAGACATTACCATAGTTGCTTGGAATTAGTCCAGTCCTGCCTTTGCAGGTTCCTTTCCACCAATTTGTGTCACTCTAGAGAGAGGAGAGAGTTTTTTTAGAAATATTATTTACATTTTAAACATAGTTTCTTTGTAACACAGCTACTAAAACCATGTTATATACTCACCATGTCTGAGATGTAGATAATATCACCTTCTTCAAAATATAGTTCATCTGGCTGAAAGAAAGAGAATGCCTGATTGCGTGCACAGAGTCAAAGCAATGATATAAACATTTAAAGGGCTCTACTTTTTTTCTGCTTAACAGTTCACTGCCCCAACAGAACTGTTCGACAGTCTTGGTAAGATGAATTATAGCATGAAATGTGACAGGCAGCACTGTTAGAGCATATACATAACAGCTATGGTAACTGGGCATTTTCCTACCATGGATTCAATACAAAAGTTTAGAGAGAAAGGAAATGCCATATTTTCTCACTTACAACATGCAGCTTTTCCCCAAACACTAGCTACTGGAAATTGGGATATGTTTTATATGCGAGGAAATATAGTAACAGCAGTTTGTCATTTTAGCTTCTGCCACACAAAAGCTAAAGTAACTGCATGTGATCCACAGGGAGCAGAATAATTTGCAGACTTGGCAGAGTAGGTGCTCTTACTTGGTGACTTACTGCAAAGGAAGATCCTTCCCCCACACTCATTCAATCTTTCAAAAGCAAGGCATGTGTCCTATTTCAGGGTGAGTCATATACAGGAAAATGATAAATGGATATAACTAGCCTACTTTTTTTTGTAACATAATCTCTAAGCAAACTGTGTTAGTCACCAGCACGTACTAAGGAAGTGTGTGTGCACATGCTGTGTGGAAAAGGACTTGGTAAAGACACCAAGATTATGCCTCTATTACAAAAAAGGTGTGATTGCAACCATGGGGACTATATAAAGCTACTTAGGTATGTACTTGGATAGCTATATTTTGTTAAAGCCCACGCTGCCATATCTTTACTGTTGTTGTTACCTGAACTGGCTAGGTTAAAGCCAGTTTGTACATGCCTGTCCATGATGCAACTGCTTCCCATGATTGTAATGCTGATGCATCATGAGGTACTCAGCAACTTCACTTTGTGGGCAGGGAGGGGAAGAAAGCAGAAGATGAGTGGGGGAAATTTCAGTATGACATAAAGCAGTGGTTGTACTACAGTTAAGACTAATCTGCTTTGTGCAGCAGCCAACTTCTTTTCTTGTTCTTAAGGGCCTTAAAATTTACTTTGCTTAGATTTTTATTGGGAATGGCTGTTTTGAATCATCAGCTTCACACTGGATTCCCAAAGTGAGGTTAATTGAGTGAGGGACTTCCCAATACACACAGAGTTAATGAGGGTAAAAGATTTCTTAAGGTGATATCGTCTATTGGACCAACTGTGTAGTTGGGATAGAGTCTGACAAGCTTTCAAATGCAAGACGCACTTCTTCAGGAGCCAGGCCAATAAAAGATATCGGCTTAGGCAGTCCTTGCCTCTTGCATGATTCCTGGATCATCAAACAGCAGTGGCTCCAATTTCCTTGAATTGATATCTGCTGAGAATGGTCTCTGCTAGGAACTCATATTGCCTGCCCTCTTGGAAAACAGTATTTAAATAGTCTGTCATCCATGGCTGTGGCCAAGCTAATGAGGCACAAAGCTATTTACACATCCATGACAGTACTGGGGATCTGTTGCAAGTCACCTTAGTCACCTGACACCACAGTAAATGGGATTGGCTCAAGAAAATTATTAGAAATGTCATCCATGTACTGCATTTGAATGTTGAGCATAACTTCCTGACACAGTCTGGTGTATGTATGGCTTAATATTTCCTGCCACTCTTCAAGAGCATCTTGTAGAAGCTTTGCCTTGAAAGCAAGTCTTTTAGTTTTGGAAAAAATCCAAGCCTACACGTGGATTTCAAAGTATGTTTAAATGCTGAGTTCCTACATCAGTTCTATTTCCTGGGTTGTGGAAGCTCATGTTGTAGCCTTATTAAGTAGTTGAGGTTGGGGCAAATTCCTCTTTTTAACACCATTCTCATGCAATCAGACCAGGCACTAACAGAGTTAGCTTATTACAGAAAAATGTACCCTTTCCAAGACAAGTACTTGCAGGAACCTTCAGAATAAGCAACAAAAGGGCAGCTTTCAGTTCCTGCTGTGGTTCTGTGTTAGACCTGCTGATTTATGACTACGTGGAAGACATACTGATTCAAAGTGAGTTTTAAATTGTTTAAACTTTGGGGGTGGGGGCTTCATTTGTCTTTTGCTTAAAAACTAACATAATTTAATTCTGACTGATGACTTCACGATTCATAGATTTCATAGACAATAGGAATGGAAGGGACCTTGAAGATCATCAAGTCCAGCACCCTACCCCAGGGGCAGAAAGCCAGCTAGGGTCATAGGATCCCAGCAAGATAAACATCCAAGCGTTTCTTGAAAGAGTCCAGAGTAGGTGCCTGCCTGCACCACTTCTGGAGGGAGTCCATTCCAGGTCTTGGGGGCTTGGACAGTAAAGACATTTCTTCTTATGTCCAGCCTAAAATGGTCTTGGAGGAGTTTATGACCATTGGTTCTTGTTTTTCCTTGAGGCACTCTGGTGAACAGACATTCTCCCAGGTCCTGATATACACCCCTTACGTACTTATAAGCAGCTACGAGCATATGTGGTAGCAGCAGCACATGCACAAAGATCTTTGGGTAGATGGAGGAGGTAATATGGGATGAATATAAAATATTAGGCCTGTGCAAGTAGGCAGCTATTCAATTCGGCTTTGGATCTAGCCGCTTTGGATGCCAGTGATCCGATCTGGAGCTCTGGTTCGGTGTCCTGCTTCTATTTGGCCAAAGTGCTGCGTGCGTGCCTGTGAAGGTGTGCCCTTTCTGGCACTGGGGCCTCTGAACAACACGGCAGTGTGGCCCAGTGAGGTCTCCTCCCCTACAGCCTCAGGTCTGGTCCACCACTTTGCATGACAACAGGTAAAATAACTTAGCTGGCTCAACACCAGTAGCATCAGCAGCAGCAGCATCAAAGGTACCCACGTGGACCTGTCACAGAGCCTTTCTTTTTATAAAGGAATTGACAGCAAGAAGTAAAGATGTTGTGTTGTGTTAGACATATGATGTTACTCATGGTGTGTGATGGTTTATCTTGTGTGTTTTATGTCTATATCTATTATGAAAAAAAAGTACTTAAAAATATATATCTTTGGAAGCTTTAGGGTTGAAAACCCCTTTGTACATTCAAACAAGCACCTAACCTCAACACCAGAATTGAAGCCAACTTCCTACAGCTCAAAACATAACACCTGCCAGCTATCTCCAGTACCCCCACAAATTGCACACCAGAAACTAGCAAAGACAACCAAACCCAACTACATGGGGGGCACATTCCTCACCAAAAAAACACTCTGCCTCCAGTCTCTCAGGCCTGACCCTGAGAGGGAACAAATTACAATGCAAACCACTTTTCAGAGCTGGGCCTATGAACTGCAGGTCATCAGCCTCCTAGGTAGCAGGTACAGAAACTCATGGACTGCACAAAGACAGTAGAATTCTGGCACACTGTGACCTGCTGGACACCTGACACCCCAGGCACCTCTGCACTTTTACCTGTGCTGCTGCATCCTACTTTCCCTCCTATCCGCTCACCCCAGCCTGTCACTCCCCCCCTGACACCTCCATTTCCATTTTCACTGACTGGGTTTCTTGCCTGTATTGTGGGCCAGGACAGCCTCTGTTTTATTTACTATTCCTTCCATCCTGGACCAGCTGCAGGTACTTCCTCAGCCTGACAAAGGGGTTTTCAATGCAAAAGCTGGCATTTGGGCAGCTAAGCTGAGCTCACTGGGAGCCTCACAACTGCACTGCAACCAGCAAGCATCAGGCCTGTCAAAGATGTGACAGGTCTGGGCATTCCCCAGCCAGGACTTTGTGCATGCATTAGCTGGAGGTTAGGGCACCTCCTACCCACCTTTCATCAGGGGATCGTTGGTCCTGGCATTTACGGGGCTGCTGTGCCGCCATCAGTCCCACCCGGCCTCCCTACCCAGGCAGGGTGCAGTTTTAGTGGTCGTGCCCAGGACCTGGGTCGTCCTCCTTCCCCATAATCCCAATCCCATACCATCATGTTCATCCTGGCAGGGGAATGAGCTCAGCAGGGACGTGTTCTTCCCCTGCTGGCTGGTGATGCAGTGAGTGACCCCTCCAGATGAGAGCAGGATATTACTTGGCTTTTAAAAAACTCAAAAAAGGAAACTGGTGCAGATGGAGTAAGGAGGGTAGCATTCAGTCCATCTGCAGGTGGAGCTTAGGGAACCCCAGCAGCAGGATGTTCACCTTTAGGAACACCAGTTGCTCCACCAACTAAGACCCAAGCAAATGCAGTGGAGTGTCACAACATCCCCAGCAATGCTGAACACCCTCTCACTTGGAACACTGGTCAGTGGACAGGACAAGTAATGCCGGGCAATCGTGGACAGATCTTGCCATGTCTAGCTGTGGTCTGCCCAGTAGGCCAAGGGGTCACAGTTCAGTGGCTCCACATCCTCAGTGAGAGAGTTCCAAGGCTTTAGTGGCTACCTACCTGCCTGAGGCTGGGGTCTGGTACATTTGGACCCCAGCAATGAAGCAATTCCCATGGCCCACATTGGCAGTGGCTGGCATGGAAGAGACTGGCTGGGGCTGGGAGTGCTGGCACAGGAAAGTGGATCTTCCTCTTCCACATCCCCTCCCCTCTGCACTTTGGCCTCTCTGACTTTGACTAGCACCTGCGTCCAATGATCGAGGGTTTTGGTGCTACCAGTGCACATACTCCCCTTCACCCTCAGGTGGCATGTGCCTGCCATCATGTGATCCAGTACAGTCCACAAGAGATCCAGCCATCTCCTGATACCCTCCTTCAGCTGCCTCACCAGTGCCTGCATGTCTGGTGACAGCAGCCTGCCCCAGCCAGGAACGTTGTCCATTCGGTTCTCCAGTTCCCTCACTAGGGGGATCGCCTGGCTGAGGAGGGCATCGCCAGCACTAAGGGTCTTGGTAGCTTTGAGGAAGGGCTTGAGGACCAGCAAAATCTAGGAGATGGTACCCCACTCAGCTCTGTTCAGGGGGGTGCACAATCTCCCCAAGCAAGGCCATCTCATGGATGGTCTTCTGTTGCTCTACCAGACTTTCAAGCATCAGGTACGTGGAGTTCCACTGAGTCTCCACATCCTGTATGATTCTGTGCTGCAGGATGCTCAGTTCTGCCTGTTTCTCCTGCAGCATCTTGCCCCCCTTGATGCTGCAATGGAAGTAGCCCACCACCTTCCTGCATTTCAAAATCAGCTGGCTTGTAGCAGTAGTGGTGGCAATGCTGTCACTGGCAGCACTGTCCCCCTCCAAGGCACCCCTCACTATGAGGTGCAGCCTGTGTGCCACACAGTGGATGCCAGCAAAGTTGGCATCAGCAACAGCCTTCACCATACTGGCCCCATTGTCAGTGACCATGAACCCATGGGTGAGCTTGGCCTGCCCAACGAGTTATCCCTGCACCATCTGGTTCATGACCCCCAGGATCTCCCTTGCCATGTGGGACTCATCCAGCACCTCAGCTTGCAGCAGAGCCCACTGACGGCCTGACTGATCGCACCAGTGCCCTGTGAGGGAGAGGTAGGCGTGATCGTCACCCCGTCTGCTCCAGATGGAAGTGAAGTGCAAGGCTACCTGCGGCCCTGCCTGGCGCAGCTCCTCCCTCAATTACTCCCTGCCTGCCTCATACAGGGACGGCACCACCATCTTGGTAAAGGTGGTCTGTGCAGCCACTTTGTAAGATGGGGCCAGAAGTGCTACGAGCCACCTGAACCCTGGCCGCTCAACTAGGGAGAAGGACTGGCTATCCAGAACAAGCATCTCCCCAATGCTCTGGGTGATCTTGCTCGCCTTGAATGCGGCCCCTTTTCTGCCTCCCCTTTCCCCCACTGGTCCAGGGTGGCCTGCCCCTGCTTTGGGGGGAAGGGGGCTTTGGAGCGAGTGGGGAACTTCCCTTTTGGCACGCTTACACTGGTGCCAGGCTGAGCAGGAAGAAAGGCAAGGGTGTGCTGCCTCCTCAGATGCATTGCCATGGTGGAAAAGTGCCTCACCTTCTTGCCGCAGCTCATGTGCCTTCGGCAGTGCTGGCAGATGGCAAACCTAGGATCATCTGCCAGCTCAAAATGCTCCCACACTATGCTACTCACCCGTGGGTTGAGGGTGAGGATCCTGCCTTATCCCACTCCTCAGCAGGATGAGCCTCAACAGGAGGGGGAGCTGCCTCAGCTGAGCTACCTGCCTCTACAACCTCAGCCTCCTCCGAGGTGCTGCTTCCCAAAGGAGACCTGGGTCCAGGGAAAATTTGAGGGGGGTGGAGCACAAACTCTGATTCCGCCTCAGTCCCCACAATTGCTTGAGCCAGTGTGCTCAGCATCCCTGGTTCCAGCTCCAGCTCTTCCTCTCGCAGTAGGAGGCTCACACTGAGAGATGACATTGGGGCGGAGGAGACAGTGATTCCAGTGCGGGTGCCTACTTTTGGACTGAGGGGAGGTGATGCAGGTGCAGGGATGTCAGATGCAGACATTGCTCCCACCTCCTTGCTTCCACTGGCAGAACTGATGTCATGGCTGCTTGGGAAGAGAATGTGTCTGTTTCCAGGGGGTTGCAGCTCTAACGCTCTCCCTCCCTTGCCAGAAGAACTGGCACCTGCCTTTCCAGCATGCTTCATACTAATCTTTCCTGTGCTGCAAAAGGTCTCGTATATGTGTGTCACTCCTTTGGTGTTGTGTGTTTTATTCCCTCTGTTGCGTGCATGCACTGGACTCTTCTTTGATTGCTTCAGTAACAAGAAGTGTTAAGAGCTATGTATAAATTGAATATCTGATTTTTCTCCTTCTGTATTGTGTGTGTGCACGCATGCAATCTGTGTGCCTCCCTGCACAGTGATGGATCACGCTTGCAGGGAAAACGCAGCTTTGAAAAAAGAAACTTTGCAAAAAAAAAAAAAAAAAAAAAGGAGCAAATATAAATTGAAATAAATTAAGTGACTAGTAGTAAGAGATATTAAGATAAGCTAAGCTAAATCCTACCTAACCCTTTCTAACAACAAAAAGGAGCAAACAAGTTCAACTGCTGACTAAAGCAAGACAGGCCAAGCTGCCCGTCTACTAGGGTACCTTTCTCACTCAGTTCCTGAGATGGAACAAGCTTACAAAAGGTACAGCACACCTGCAAACAGAGGCTTTTATGCTGTTTCTAGGTCCCTCCCCCCAGACACTGTCATTGAAAAGGCAGTCAGAGAGAAATCCTTCTCGCTGGCCCCCTACACATGCCAGTCACCCCCTCTCCTTCCCTCTTCTAACTTTTGCTTTCAGCTGTCCAAAGCTTTTCCGACATGGTTCGGAAGCTCCAAACTGCTTTGGAAAGCCTAAAGCTATCGCTTCGATCCAGGCTTGCTGCTTCAGCATCCGAAGTGGCCCTGGATCTGAAGTGATGTCCGCAGCCTCGCACAGCCCTATAAAATATCATTCCTCACCATCTTTTCCTCTTTACAAATAAAGAGAAACAGCAACAGAAACAGTTCTCCCTTTTTGTCCTAAAATGCAAGATTCTGCCATTGACTTGAGTTAGGCAAGGATTTCAGCCTTGATGCAAATATCACCTCTGGCTTGTGGGAGGATAAAGGGTTATGGACAAAGAGTAAGTGACTGTAACCCCTCAGTATTAGTTTGAAGAAATGTAGAAATTTGACAGTTCAACCGTACAATAAATAAGTAAATGCTCCTTAAATCCCATTCTTAGTTTATACCCAATCTATCCACTTCATCAATTCTGCTGAGTTTTCTTATGCTGGAAAGGATGGAAAAGTGAGCCTAAACTTGGGGGCTAGGGACAGAAGTTGCACATAAACTGGTTTAAGTGATCAGAAACTGGTTTAAATCGGTAATAGAACAGAAGCTCAGTGCACATCAACCAGTTTAAAAATGGCTGAAACTGTTTTAAGATAAAGCTGGTTGAATGTAGAATCAGACTTAACTGATTTGGGTCAAACTAGCTTATGAAACTTCTCCCCCAGACCCCTTCCTGGTTCAAGTTAAATCACAATATTCCAGCATGGTTTCCAGCCCTGGCCTAGGCTGTCCTGTCTGCTCCGGAAAGCAGGGCTGGCCCCACCCCTCTACTCCCTAGCAGGAACAGTAAGGGCTGGCTGACAAGAGGGTGGGGGGCAAGCCTGGCTGGGAATACAGCCCACCCTACAGGGAGAGGACTGCCCTCCCACCCCCCGGCAAACCCTGGCATCTCAGGCCACAAAAGGAGGTTAAACACCCCCTTCCCCTGATCGAACTTACTGCTGCACAGTCCTGCTGCTTTCATTCTGGACTGCAAGTTCCAGAGACCTCAGGGGGCAGCAGGAAGAAGTAGTGAATACACAGCCAGAGAGCCATACTCCAGTACCCCCCGACTTCTGGCTTGAGCCACTGCAAGCATTTGACTGCATTTCCTGAATCCAAGGTAAATGTCCGTTCACTTCTGTTTCAATTTAATCTGTGCAGTTTAGATTAACTTCCAAAGACTGATTCAATTCAGCCACGAGCTTTTTGATTGCCTGTACTTACCCTGGCAGAGTCTGCCAATGTCAGATAATGGCCATGTGGCACCAGAAAGTAGGTCTCATTGGAGCATAACTTAACAGAAACTGAAGATACAGGGATTTGGACTTGAATGATGGAATGGAGAATTAGGCTTTGAAGACTACACACAGATTCTTTAGATAAGAACTAATGTTCAGTTACAGCAGAACACATACATGCAAGATACTTGACATCACATATTTTTGTAAAATAAATCTATTAGATTAATACAAAACCTGAGTATGTTTTGCCTTATTAAATAAGATATAGAAATGAAAAGCCGCATATACTTACTGTTCTGGGTTCAAATGTATAAAGGGCCCTGAACACTTTAACTTGTCCTAAAAACAAATGGACACAAATGTATATTAATGGAATGGTAGAAACACTCTTAAGACGAGCTACATTGATATCAGATCTCTTCCAAAAAATCACAATTACTTCCTCCCATTCACGTTACGTTGAATTTGATAATACATTTTCAGTGTTTGCATACATTCTTTCTAAAATCATGCTAATGTTCTATTCAATACCGCATTTCAGCCTGTCAACTAACAATAACTTGCTGCTGTAGAAAGATGCAGGGTGTTGTAGCATGCCAAATCAACTGGACTTCCATGAAGGATTTATGGATTAGGTTCCATATTTGATCTAGTACTGACCATTTTATGGACAACAGTTGCTGTTGGACCAGGCCCTACAGTTAAAAAGGGATGAAGGTCCCTTAAGTTGAGCAATGTCTTTAGCACTAGTACTTTTTTTTTTCTCCTAGCATGCATGATGAGCGATGTGTAGAGCTTCTGTTTGGAGACTTGGATGCTGTGTGCAACTCCACTATTTGACACAGTTTATTTTAATAGTGTCATTTTCACAATGGGTGCTCTTACTGAAGAGTAATAAGTCTAATAGCATAAACTGCAAAAATATAATTGCATAAACTGCAATGCAGCGTACACTAATTTCAAGAAAATAAAGCAAGGAGTAGAAAATGAGTGTAAGAGGAAAAAAATAGATGTCTTATGTAATTTTATATTAGTTCTGCAAATGAACTCAGAGACCACAACAGGGTAAAGCAGGGGTGGGCAATTATTTTGGGCGGAGGGCCACTTACTGAGTTTTTGCAAGCCATTGAGGGCCACGTGACAGGCAGCGAGGGACAGATAAATATTCATTTTCTAAATTTTGGGGGGCCCGTGGGCTGGATAGAATGGCCTCGCAGGCCACATCCAGCCCATGGGCCGCAGTTTGCCCACCCCTGGGTTAAAGTGTTTGATGCTATAGATTCCTACTTGAAATCTCTGGATTTATCCTGTGAATCATGACCAATATTGTGCATCATCCCATAGCACCTTTGAAAGGATGTCGCGCCATCCTGGTTGAGAATCACTGTAATCCAGTGATTTAACCATGACGGCTATTTGTTCATATCTCATCCTGTAACACTTGTAGTGGACTGTCTTGGAGAGGGGGGAGCGCTTGCCAGGAGCCATCCTACAGTGCGTACTTAGTAAGCTTATGTGCACCTGGAAAAGTACATGTTTGCACCTGCAAAAGTGTAGCCTCTCGACCAAGACAGTTCTGTAGCATCTCAGGGTCTTCAGACAAAAATTATTTCATAGCTTAACGTGCATCAAACTCAAAGCTGCTCAATGCGTGCAGACTTTCTTCTAAGACATAACATCACACTTGGCTGTACTACATTGAATTTGAGCAGTAGTAGAAGACTTCATTCTTGCTTCACTGGTTCTTTCACTCTGAAAAGTTCTATACAATCTCTCCTGAGATGCGAGGCATGAGAGGTTTTAAACTGTTTGGTTTGATGCCACACCCAGATCATGCACTTTTTCAGCAAGACAACCACTATGTAATTCTCCACCTGAGATGACGAGGTTGTGATTCACACTATCTTTCTCTTTTTATGTAGTATATAGAAAAAAAAATGAATGTGTCCTAATAATTTTCAGAATCTGCAAGCCACAAACAAAGGGGAGTGGGGGAAGTTGATGTAAATAGGAAAGAGTGCAGAGAACAGAAAGAGGGAACTGGTGATGGAAAAAGACTGTTCTTCCCCCCACAAAAGCTTTCTAAATAGATTATAGGGAACATGTATACAAAATACAAATTCTGGGTTCAAATGCAACTAAATATGACCACTAGAGTTACACCACACAGATAAGTACAGATGGGAATGGGTAATTGGAGGAGGGCACAAGATGAGGAAAAGCAAGAAAAGAAGCTGCTTAAAATGTGATGTTTCTTGTAATGTACTATATTGAATCTATTTTGGTAGATATACCAAAATTAAGTCTGGGGAGGGGAGAAAAGAACTAAATGTTGCTGTTGCTGCTGGGACAAAATGAGTTGAATGAGTTTTTTAACTGTATACTACAGACATAGCTACACATTTCTCTCAGGGATCCACATGGGCTCACAATATAGGAAAATGTAGTTTGAAAATATGCTTTACAACATTAAATTAAATAAGGCATAAATTTAAACTTCAAAATGCTGGTCTGATTCATACTGTTCATTTTTTGTACAAGGTTTGAATAACTTCAGTTACCATTACTTTGGAAATATGTTTATAAAGGGCAAAATCTAAGGTTTAAACTGTCAAATACAGAATCGCACTAGGACTTGGAATGTAGTAAGAAGCCGTTTTACAACAATCCATCTGTGCAATTCAATTAACTAGCCAACACACAAAAGTACTCAAAACTGAGGATAAATCAGAACTTGGGAGTTGTTCTACAAATACTGACAAAAAGCCTCTTAACTAGGTATAAAGTTCGTTGGTCATGTGTGACCAACCTGATTGCCTTCTATAATGAGATGACCGGCTCTGTGAAGGTCAGGAACCAGTGGATGTGGTGTACCTTGATTTAAGTAATGCTGTTGATTAGTCTCCCGCAACGTTCTTGCAGGCAATGCTAAGGAAGTACAGGCTGGATGAATGGACTGTAAGAAAAACTGGCTGGATTGGTGGGCTCAGAGGGTAGTAATCAATGGTTCACTATCTCGCTGGCAGCTGGTATCAAGTGAAGTGCCCCAGGGGTTGCTCCTGGGGCTGGTTTTGTTCAATATCTTCATTAATGACCTAGAAAATGGCATATTGAGCTGCATTGGTACAAGTTTTGTCAACAGGGAAGGGAAGTGATTCTGTCCCTCTACTTAGCACTGGTAAAACCACATCTGGAGTACTGTGTTCAGTTTTGGGCCCCACACTACAGAAAGGATGTGGACAAACTGGAGAGTCCAGCAGAGGGCAACAAAAATGGTGATAGGGCTGGGGCACATAACTTATGAGGAAAGGCTGAGGGAATAAGGCTTATTGAGTTTAGAAAAGAGAAGACTGAGAAGGGATTTAATAGCAGCCTTTCAAAACCCCCTGGAGGATGGAGCTAGGCAAGGGGTGGGCAAAATATGGCCTGCAGCCCAGATCTGGTCTGTGAGGCCATTTTATCGGCAGGGCCCCTAAAAAAAATTTAGAAAATTAATATTCATCTGTCCTTGGTTCCTATCAAAAATGACCCTGCTTGCCAGGCAGTGTTTGCTGCTGCTGCCCACCCGAAGCTTGTGCACTGGGCATCAGAGGCGGCGGTGGCATACATTGCCGAGCAGCTGCTGCCACCATGGTGCAGCCCCGATGGGTGAGCCCGGAGCTGGCGCAGGGTCCAGGCTGGCAGCGGGGATGGGTTACAAGCTGGTGCTGAGTGCGGGAAGAGTGCCCACTGAGCTCCACCTCCCGGACCAGCTCCTCTCCAGTCCCTCGAAGTTGAAAATCCGTATTAGGACAGCTGAGAATGTCTTGAAGAATGGCCTGCACAGCTAGCCAAGTTTTACTTGAGGCTACGAGCTTTTGTTTTATGTGTTGAATTGCTTTTAGTAATTTAGTATGAATCACACTAACCCTTGGGAGGTCGCAGATAATTATGTAGGTTTCGAAACTCCCCAGGGGGTAACACTGTTCTGTATTCTTGTGGTATTTTATTGGTAGTAGTGTGCTGGAGGCTGAAATTTTAGTCAAGGGTAGCCCCTCCAAAGTTCCAAAGGATAGCAGCGTTTGGAACCCCGCTCCAGTAGGCCCCCAAGATATTACCTTTTCTTTTACTCTGCTTCATGCCAGGAGTTTTAGTCAGGGCATGGGAGGAGAACAGTATTATGTTCCTGGGGCAGAGCACTGCTAGTGCAGGCAACCTTACGAACTACTAGGCGTGCATACATGGGCCTACCCATCCAGCCAGAGGAGTCCCAATGCTTGGGGTACTGATTCTCCTTGAGGACTGGGGAAACAGTACCAATACTAGCTTTGTCAGATTTTCCTCCCACTCTAATAGAAAGCAGCAGTTGATCCCTGAATGGTGGAAAAAGACTCGAGACAGCTGGAGACCGTCCTCTAGACTTGAGGTAGGCTTCTGTTATAGGTCCAATGGGAGTGGCAGGATGGGAGAAGCTGGTTACTCAGTGGGGCATTACCCCAAATGCTGGGTAACCTTTGATTATCATTCCTATAATACGTCTGGGATCCTGCTGGGAAATATGTCCTTTCAGCGTACTAACGGGTCTCTCACTATTCATAAAACCCTGGAGGAGACCCATAGTCTGCTAATGAACAGGTCCGAATTCTATGTGTTGTTAGGTTCTACTTCTTGTAATCTACTTCTTGTAATCAATCAATATCTCAGTGCAGGTTGGTGGGAGCCAACGTGCCCCTTCCTATACCTTATAGGTCAATCGGAAGTGCCAAAGTGGGAGCATAACCTGTAGGGACCTCAGCACTATAGCCGCTCCAGGCTTGTTTTGGCTATGCGGGAATGATGCCCACAAGATTTTGCCATGGCACTGGGTTGACACCTGTACTCTGGGGAGAATCATCCCGGAGTTTGATTTACACCCAAGCCTTTCATGGCATGAGGTGTCTAATCTCCCACCTGGCTTACCCAGACATAGGTGAGCAGTTGAAAACCCACTGGTCTCCCGACCCACCGGGTTCCATCAATTTACTAGGGCATTTCTCCCTTGGTTGGGGGTAGCTGAATTAGAAGGAACCATTGTAAACATTTCAGGAGTCATGGAAGAATTAATGCTAGCGCCAGTGCCCTAGGAGCTCTTTATGATGAAATCAACCAGGTAGGGCAGGTGGCTACTGAAAACTGTATGGCTTTAGATTATCTCTTAGCTGCCTAAGGTGGGGTCTGTGCTGTTATTAATCACACTTGGTGTACCTGAATCAATCAGCACCAACGAGTGGAAAAAGACCTCCGCACCATAAAAAGGCAGTTGCAGGTGATCCATGCGGTTGCAGAGGAGAAACCCTTCGATTTGGGGGGTGGCTACCAGA